CCCTCTCTCCTCTCTCTTTCCCTCTCTCTCTTTCTCTCTCTCTCGCTCTCCCTCTCTCTCTCTCTCCGTCTGTCTCTCTGTCTACCTATCTATCTCGCTCTCTCTCTATTTTTCTCTTTTTCTCTCTTTCTTTTCTCCTCTCCCCTACCCCCTCTACGTCCGTGTATATTTGTGCATGTGTGTGTGTGTGTGTGTGTGTGTGTGTGTGTGTGTCTGTGTGTGTGTGTGTGTGTGTGTGTGCGCGCGCGCACGTGTGTGTGTGTGTGTGTGTCTGTGTGTGTGTGCGTGCGTGTGTGAGTGCACCCACGTCTATGTCTGTTTATTTCATTCCCTCTGCCTTCTCTCTGCCGACCACTCCATTTCGCTCCCCTTCGTATCCTCACAGTTCATCCTAATACCACGCTTTATTCCCCCCCCCCCCCCCCCCCTTCTTCTTTTCTCTCAATTCTCGATCTCCTTTCAAAGAACAAAGGCCTGTAATCCGTTCAGTGTGCTCTGCTCTCTTCACTTAATTATTCTCTTTCATTGCTCTGACGAAGAAGTCAAAATCTCGAAGAAAGATAGAAAGACCACGCCCCTTTAAGAGCCTTTGCAGCGTTGAGCAACAAAGAATTAGGCGAAAGCTTATCCGATTAGAATTCGCGGACTGAGTAAAGAGCAAAACAGGAAGAAGGACAACGGGACAGGCAGAGGAAAAGAAGAGGAGAAAAGAAAGAAAAGAAAACTGGTTGAAATAGGAAACTATGGGGACTGAGGATCTTGTTTTTGTCGTACTGTTAGAAGGTAGAAGAGGAGGAAGAACCACAGCTCCGGTATACTTGGCAGGGAAAACGTCCTTTCGGGTTTGACAATACAATGTAATGTATTTTAAGCAACAATTACTAATATTAGAGTGCATCCATCATACTTTAGGTGAAAATGGGTGAGACATAGAGCTCAACAATTGGCGGATAGTTTAAAAAAAGTTTTAATAATGATTTCTTGGCATCTTTATTATGATGATGATTACTATAATTATGATTATTGTTATTATAATAATAATAATAATAATTATTATTATTATTATTATTAGTAGTAGTAGTAGTAGTATTATTACTAGTTTTTAAAAAAGTACCCGTTCTACGAACGGAATAAAACTGAAGAATTATTAGGAAAGTTAAGAAGAGGAAAAAGACTGAAAACAGGAAAGAAACAAAACACAAATATTTTACCTTGAATTTATCCATGTAACACCCCCCCCCCCCCCCCACCCTTGACTACCTCTAGGGGTAAGACTTCTTCTCCCTCTTCGAAGGCGTGGCATTTTCTCCTAAAGTTCCAGCTCAATCATTAAAAAAAAAAAAAGAGTTAGGCCTACGTGTCAATTGTTGCTTCCTAGAAGAACCTAATCTAGATTCTAGATCTAGCCTAGGTCTCGAAGGATTATAAAGACATAGATCTAGACCAATAATTGAAAGAAGGAGCCTTGGCCCGTAGATAGGTCTAATTTTAGAAATTCACCTTTTTAATAACCGACAGGCGTCACAGATGGCCTAGATTTCTAGATCTATTCACAGTAGGAAACATCCACTTTCAAGAATACTTTCATGATTCTTGATCTCGATCTCGATTCACCTACAGCCTAGTTCTAAACTCTAGATCTATTCACAGCAGGAACAAATCCACGTTCAATACTTTCATCATTCTTGATCTCGATCTAAGATTCACATAGATTTAGCCTAGATCTAGATTTTAGAATCTATAATGCTCAGCAAGAAAAATCCATTTTCAATATTCAATAGGTTATCGAAATATCACAGATCTAGATTATACTTTCATTTCGTGGTTCTTCTTGATCTCGATTTATCTTGATACACTAAGTAGGCCTACGATAGGGCTAGACTACTCTTTGCGCTTTCGACGACACCCTCCCTGTCACTCTCACCACCCTCCCTCTGTTAGTGCTTTCTGGCCTCCTCTATCTCTCCCCCCCCTCTCTCTCTCCCAAAGTATGGTAACAAACGAAAAAGTCACCACTTCGTAACATGTATTACTACTCGATTCTTCTTCTCCTTTTTTTTCTTCTTGTTCTCCCCCTCCTCCTACTCTAATTCCTCCTGCTCCTCCTCCCGCTCCTCCTCCTGCTCCTCCTCATTCTTCTTCTTCTTCTTCTTCTTCTTCTTCTTCTTCTTCTTCTTCTTCTTCTT